GTCAGCCAGGTTGGTCTCAAACTCCTGGCCTCTCAATTGATCCGCCTGCCTCGGTCTCCTAAAGTGCTGCAATTACAAGCCTGAGCCACCGCACCCAGCCACCTATGCTTCTTTAGTTTTATCTCGATCACATAATGTTTTGTCGGCAAGGGCAAACACATCCTTCCTTCTATTTTAAAATTTTTAAATAAAACGGAGGCCCAAAGAGTTGAGGTGTCCTAGGGCTTCACAGATACATGGCACTTCACCCCACTAAGTCAGAATGCCTTATGAGTATCTCTTTTGAGCTCTAAATGAAAAGATTTAAAGACTCCTTGGCTCAGGTCTGTAATCCCAGTACTCTGGGAGGCCGAGGCAGGTGGATTGCTTGAGCCCACAAGTTCAAAGACCAGCCTGGGCAACGTAGCAGGACCCAATATCTACAAATAATAATAATAATAATAATAATAAACCTCTTCTTGCATGAACATGGATGAAGCTGGGAACCATTATCCTCAGCAAACTAACGCAGGCACAGAAAACCAAACATCGCATGTTCTCATAGGAACATGTGGACATAAAGAGGGGAACAACAGACACTGGGGCCTACGTGATGGTGGGAGGGAGAAATTCAGAAAAAATACTTTAATACCAAATAAATCATCTATACACCAAACCCCCGTGACATGAGTTTGCCAACCTGCACATGCACCCCTGAACCTAAAATAATAAAGGGCAACAGGGAAACACCCTGTTTCTTTAAATTAGAACAAAACAAGAAGAAAACAAAAAAAGATGAAAACTCTCAATCAGGACAAAAAGTGTAACCTAGTAAAAACATATGGACGTACACCCACTTGCAGATGAATGGCTTATCACTACCCGGGGTGCAGAAGCATCAGTCAGCAGCTTTACCAAATGCCAGGAGGCTGGAGAGAGGATCGCTTGAGCCCAGGAGTTGGAGACCAGCCTGGGCAACATAGACCCTGTCTCTACAGAATACTGAAAAATTAGTTGGGCGTGGTGGCACGTGTGGTGCCAACTAATTTTGGCACGTTTATGTCTCAAACTGCAGGAGGTTCAGTGCTGGAGGGTAAGCATCAAGCTGGGCCTGGGTCTCCACTCCTTCACGTGTGACCTTCGTGCGTCCACTGCACTGCTGAGCCCCAGGAGGCCCTCACCTGGGCCACGCAGCAGAGACCACCAATCACGCACATGCAGCCACCACTGCCATCCATTAGCAGGTGAGATGCCATGTTTTGCTGACTCCAAGGCCCTCCCAACCTCTCTGACCCACTCTAGTTAAACTGGGTGCACCCCTCTTTCCTTGTGGTTAGGGATGGTAACAGGCACTCACTGTCCCCAAAACACAGTAACTCACACGTGGTGCTGGGCGTGTGGGGCTCAGGGCGCCATTTTCTGGGTGGGGAAATGCAGGTTCCACATGTTGACAGGGAGCAAGAGCAGTGCTTGGGAGGCTGAGGCAGGGCACCGCACCCCAGCTGGGAGAGTCAGTTGCCACATCAAATCAGTGGCGGTGGGTGGGGAAGGAGGCCGTCCAGTGTCTGGACTGCTGTGTGGAGCATGAGACCCCGAAGGAACATCTGAGGGACACAGGGGTTCCCAGGGGAGGGCTGATTGGTAAAGGCCCTGGAACACTGCTTGCATAGTGACACAGCCAGATAGGACCTTCCCGCCCTGATCATTTTCAGACTGGGGAGCTCTGGTTCCCTCTAAGGCTATTCAGGTGACCAGGGAAAAAAGCACTGCTCACACAGGGCCTGGACAAGGAACGCGTCCAGCAAAGCTGTGTGGGGGCCTCCTGGGGCCCCAGCTCCAATGCACTGGGCTCCCCTTGGCGCCAAGCCACCTCCACAGAGCCAGGGGAGCTATGCACATGACACGCTGTAAAGGGACAGAGGCTCTAGGGAGTGCCAGGAACAGTTTCAGTCACAGCCCTGGACCTTTGGGATGTTCTGATGGCCCCTCCTGCTGTGACAGTTGAGGGAGGTTCACAGAATATCAAGGCCCCGCTATGCTGGCA